CCTGCTGAAGTTTCCTCTTCAATAATTTTAAGCAGCATGCAATATCAACAATTCATATTTTAAAAATCACCATTGTGTTTCAATCTTCTAAAATTGATTCATGAATTTTGCTTAGTGCAATCTCATCTAAATTTGGAAGTGGCCTTATGTATTTTTTTAACAATATCAGTCACAATGTTGGGATCCTGTGAAAGATGTTTCAATAAATTTAAAGCAATTAAAAATTATTTAAGATAGTTACTGGCTCATCAAAAATTGGAGAACATGGCAATTCTCTCCACTGAAAATGAGACAAACTAAGAAGTATATTTTAAAAATATTCCTGAAGTTTGCTTCCATTAAGGCCAGGAATGTAAAATTATAATAAATTCTGGTTTTGATATAAATATTATATTTAAATTAAAATAATGTTAGTTTTAATACACCTATTTTTCAATATTTTTAAACTACTTTAACTTTGTAGGAAAAATTAATTATTAAAAAAATTAATAGAAGTATGTATGTACTGGTACACATTTTCTCTTTCACCCCAGGATGCAATATGACTTGGCTAGCTACTGGCCATATTCCCTACTTATTTTCCTGGAAGGTCCCAATATTTTGTATATTCATTTCCTGAATAAATGTGTTTCCTTTTCTCTAAATTTGCAGCAGGATTTCTCCCTAGAAACAATCCTGAGTCTGTAAAAAATACTATAGCATGCTAAGACGACATGATTTTATATATAGAAAACCCTAAAGAATCCATTGGAAAACTATTAGAAATAATCAACAACTACAGCAAAGTTGCAGGGTACAAAATCAATTTACAAAAATCAGTTACATTTCTGTATGCTAATAACGAACTAACAGAAAGAGAGCTCAAAAAGATAATACCATTTACAATTGCATCAAAAAGAATAAAGTATCTAGGAATAAATCCTACCAAGGAGGTGAAAGACCTATACAATGAAAACTACAAGACATTAATGAAAGAAATTGATGATGACATAAAGAAATGGAAAGATATCCCATGCACGTGGATTGGAAGAATAAACATAGTTAAAATGTCTATATTACCTAAAGCAACCTACAGATTCAATGCAATCCCAATCAAAATCCCAATGACATTCTTCACGGAAATAGAAAAAAGAATACTAAAATTTATATGGGGCAACAAAAGACCCCAAATAGCTAAAGCAATCCTAAGAAAAAAGAACAAAGCTGGAAGCATCACAATCCCTGAGCTCAAAAGATACTACAAAGCAATAGTAATCAAAATGGCATGGTAGTGGTACAAAAACAGACACACAGATCAATGGAACAGAATTGAAAGCCCAGAAATAAAACCACACATTTACAGACAGTTAATTTTTGACTGAGGAGCTAAGAACATACAATGGAGAAAGGAAAGTCTCTTCAATAAATGGTGTTGGGAAAACTGGACAGCCACATGCAAAAGAATGAAAGTGGACCATCTGCTATTGCCATTCACAAAAATTAACTCAAATGGATCAAAGACCTGAAGGTGAGACCTGAAACTATAAAACTCATAGAAGAACATATAGGCAACACACTATTTGACATTGGTCATAAAGGAATCTTTTCTGACACCATGCCTACTCAGACTACGGAAACTAAAGAAAAAATAAACAAGTGGGACTTTATCAGATTAAAGAGCTTCGACGAGACAAACGAAACCAGAATCAAGATGAACAGACAACCCACCAGCTGCGAGAAAATATTTGCAAAACATATATCTGACATAATATATAAAGAACTCCGTAATATATAAAGAACTCACACAACTGAACAACAAAAAAACAAACAACCCGATCAAAAAATGGGCAGAGGAAATGAACAGACACTTCTCCAAAGAAGATATACAGATGGCCAATAGGCACATGAAAAGATGTTCAACATCACTAATCATCAGGGAAATGCAAATCAAAACAACACTAAGGTATCACCTTACACCCGTTAGAATGGCTATAGTCACCAAGACAAAAAGCAACAAATGTTGGAGAGGATGTGGAGAAACAGGAACCCTCATACACAGCTGGTGGGAATGCAAACTGGTGCAGCCTCTATGGAAAACAGTATGGAGAGTCCTCAAAAAATTAAAAATAGAAATACCCTATGATCCAGCTATCCCACTACTGGGAATCTATCCAACGAACCTGAAATCAACAATCCAAAGAGGCTTATGCACCCCTATGTTCATTGCAGCATTATTCACTATAGCCAAGAAGGGGAAGCAACACAAGTGTCCCTCGACTGATGATTGGATCAAGATGTGGTGTATATATATACAACGGAATACTACTCAGCCATAAAAAAGACAAAATTGTCCCATTTGCAACAACATGGATGGGCCTGGAGGGTATTATGTTAAGTGAAATAAGCCAGAAAGAGAAAGACAAACACTGTATGATCTCACTCATATGTGGAATATAAACCAACACATGGACAGAGAAAACTGTACTCTGGTTACCAGGGGCAATGGGGGTAAGGGGTGGGCACAAGGGGTGAAGGGAGACATATATATGGTGATGGACAAACAAAAATGTACAACCAAAATTTCACAATGTTAAAAACTATTAAGACATTAACAAAAAAAATACTATAGCATGCTAAGATTTGGAGCCAACAAATCCCTCAATTAATGGATACTTTTATCTTGCCAAAATATTATAGGAGAAAGGAAAGTATAAAACTCACGTGAACAGTCTAGAAAATGAAGTGTTCGGTGCTTGCTAATTGAGAAATATGTCGCCAGAGAAGCCTCAGCAAAGCAGTCAGGGCCACAAGAAGGAAGCTTTTTACTCACTATTGAGAGGACACCAACTTGGTCCCAAAGTCACAGCAGCACGTCCCTCAGGAGGTATATCCTGCTACCACGAAGGTAACACAGATTTCCTGCTACCTTACATGCATATAGACCTATTAATGATGATTCAATAATAAATTATGTTCTCTCGTTCTCTTTCTTTTTGTGAGGAAGATCAGCCCTGAGCTAACATCTGCCAATCCTCATCTTGTTACTGAGGAAGACTGGCCCTGAGCTAAAATCCGTGCCCACCTTCCTCCACCTTATGTGGGAGGTCGCCACAGCATGGCCTGACAAGCTGTGCGTCAGTGCATGCCTAGGATCTGAACCCGGGCGGCCAGCAGCAGAGCACGCACACTTGACCGCTACGCCACAGGGCCGGCGCTCAACAAAAATTTTCTAACCAAGTATCCCTAATGTCAAAAGGAAGTAAGCCCCTACCCTAGATACAGTACAAAGCTGTCTCCTATTATATTAAATGTATATGGATTTTCTATCCTCCTCCATAATATCCCCATACTTATTTTGATATATGAAAATATAGCAAATTATATAAATGTATAAGAAAGTAAAAGTAAATATTTTATATTGAAATTTTGCAAGTTTCTTACCACTAAGAAACTAAGGTTCCTGGAAGGTGTACCATATTATACACCGAGACTTCGTGTACACTCTGGCATATTGATATTCCTGAATAGCCCAGAGGGAATAAACTTCTATCTTGGGTATTTAGCCCAAAACTCATGCTTTCTCATTTTACGTTCTATTCCATAATACATGTCTGTTTTTGCAATATTAATGTTTTAAAGTACTTACTACCAGGGAAAATTGACATTGTAGGAAGATGGACTATCTTTTTAATTAATTAATTTATTTTTTTCCCCCAAAGCCCCAGTAGATAGTTATATGTCATAGTTGCACATCCTTCTAGTTGCTGTACGTGGGACACGGCCTCAGCATGGCTGGAGAAGCGGTGCATCAGTGCACGCCCGGGATCCAAACCCGGGCCGCCAGCAGCGGAGCACGGGCACTTAACCGCTAAGCCACAGGCCCGCCCAAAGCTGGACTATCTTACGGCATCAGGTCCCCTTAGCCTACTTCAGGGGAACCTGGGTTCAGAATTAGTCTTACTGATTGGTTCAAGGTCACGCAACACTGCTTCCTAAACTTGTAGAAACCCCTATAAAAAGAAGTAAGGAGCTTTGTAACGCATTTAAAAAAACGAAGGAAGGATACTGGGCGTTTGGGGTATAGAGGAACTCTCTATATTATTTTCACAACTTTTCTGTAACTCTAAATCTAATCTAAAACAAGAAAGTTATTCAAAAAAATTCCATCTTTAGCCATTGAGGAACCAGTTGGCTGTGACTTTTCATTAATACAAACTTATTTTAATTTTCTCATGACGTATTCTCAAACTTGAAATGAGCTATTTTTAAGCTATGGTAGTTTTTAGGTTCCAGTTTTTCTATTTTTGACACAGTTTTCCTATCTTACTCTGTTGGGAATACTGGGGAAAGGAATCATTTAAGTATTCCCAAGGGTCTGGGCAGACAAGACAACAAAAACGGTAAAGGGCAAGAAACTGGAGAGGGCGGGCAAACCCTCAGAGAATTCACCTGCAGGTGTGCTGTCAGCCAGCTCAAGTATGTGACGGGCCAGTCACCACGGAGCAAATAAGATTGAACTTAACAGCTGTCTACCAAGACACCCTAATCTAGCCACTTCTTCACCCAAACAAAGGAAAACCATTAACTCCACAGAAAGTGGCAGCACCTGAGGCCACGCTGTACTCCTAGCGGACAGGAGGAAGTTACTAGAAGAGGGTCCCGGCCCTTCGCTCTCCTTCAGATCTCCCCCTCACTTTGGAAGCGCAGGCGCGGGGTGAGGAATGTAGATATTTCCCTCCCAGGTGGCGGGGACACAGACCACACTCCTGAGAAGTAAATTCTCCACACGCAGCGCCCCAGCGCCCCAAGCTGCGTGTAGCGGGAGAACACGAGTGACACACCGAGAAGAGACACCGCGCATGCGGAGAACGCGGCCCCGAGGGCGACGGGGCGTACCGCGCATGCGCCCTCTCCTGGGCGGAGCCCTTTTCCCCTCAGGTGAGAGGCGGCCCGGCTTTCCCGCCCTCTGGCCCCGCCCCCTGCGCGGCTCACCCCCCGCCCCCAGGCGTTGCCATGGGGACGCAGCGGCCACAGCCGGCCTGTGGCAGCGCCGCCCGCCTGGTTGCCTTTGCGGACCTGGCGGCGGCGACCGTGGGAGCTCATGGAGCTTTCAAGAAACTCCTCCGATGGGACCAGGAGGTGGACGCGCCTGGGCCGTTGCCGGCATTTCTTTTGGCTGGGCGTGGTCTTCGACACGGTGGGCCTGACAGTGCTGTTCACCGGGGTCTTCGCTGACCTGCTGTTCTACGACCTGCTGCTCTACCTGGGTTCCATCATCATCTTCTTCAGCCTCCTCTGGTGGGTCTTCTGGTACACCGGCAACATCGAGCTGAGCGCCGAGGACGCCCTGAAGAGGCCCTTCCCCGTGCCCTCCTCCACCGTGGTGGAAGCCCTCAGCCAGGGCGTGGGCCACCGCCTATCCTTCACCGTCTGCAGCGTCTCCACCACCCTTCTGCGGATCCGGCGGCGGCGGCGCCCCAGGAGGGTCGTTCAGAGGACGGCTTCTCTGAGTATGACCGTCACGGACCAGGTGGAAAGACAGCTGGAAAAGGAGGCCCAGGACAAAGACGGAATGAGAAGTGTCCAGGAGAGCGGCGGCGCCCAGGATGTTTGCAGAGGGGATCTGGGCCCCAAAGCTGAAACTGTCGCAAGTTCCGAGGCAGTTCGCCCCCCAGGGCCTGATGCTGGTCCTCTGGACCCCGAGGCTGGGCTGCCAAGATTTGTTAAACGACCATCTGCGCGTCTGGTGCAGCCTGAGTTCTCTCTGTCTCCTCTGGACCAGGCTCCGCCTCCAGCCATCCTCCCGTCAGAGAGCCTGCCCGTAGTTCCCTTGGCCTCTACTTGCCAGCCTCTGGCTATTCTTACTTCGAAGAGCCATTCCGTCCTTTCCTGGGCCTCTGTGAGCCAGCCTCCAGTCACTCTTGCCTCTGCAAGCCAGCCTGCTGTTCCCTTGGCCTCTACCAGTCAGCTTCCACTCATCCTTGCCTCCCAGAGCCTATCTGCTGTCCCCTTGTCCTCTACGAGTCAGACTCTGGTGCCTGTGGCCTCTCAGAGCCACCCACTGGTGCCTCCACCTGCACAGAGCCGCCTCCCAGTCCCACTAGCCTCCCAGAGCCAGCTCCAGAATGTTTCTTGGGACTCTCAAACTCAGCCTGTACAGGCTTCCCAAGCCCAGGCTGGGGCCACCCCACTCCCTCTGATCCAGCTTCTGCCAGCTCAGCCTTTTCAGACCCAACCTATGGACCTGTGGGCCGCTCCTGCTGTCTGGGACTTGCAGGCTCTATATCCCACCCAGCAGGCCCCCCACAGCAGCTCTTTGGTCCAAGAGATTGCTCCAGGCCAGGCTGCATCTACAGAGGAATTTCGTAAGCAGCCAGTTGCTCAGGCTTTCGAGACTCCGCCACCAGCGGGCCAGGAGCTAAGTCGGGATCTCCTTGACACTGCGTCCCCACTCCCTGAGCCCCCAGCTCCAGCCACTCAGGCCCAGCAGTCAGTACCCTCCGAGAGTGCACCCGCCCCAGCCTCGGAGAAGAAAAGTCCTGCTCTCTAGCACAGAACCAGACCCCAACCGTCCGAGTGGCTGCTCAGGCCTCTGCCAAGTAAGTGCCTTTGGAGGAATATTCCTTAACGGTTTCCGGGTCTCTGTTCTGGTGGTTTCCTCCACCCCTTCTGTTCAAAAAAATTAAGTTAGTGGAGGTGAAGTGGCCTTTTCCTTCAGGGATTAGATCTTTTGAACTTTGGTAGGTTTTGAAACCTAGTGCTCCGAGTGGGTGAGTGCTGTTAAGGTTTTACCTCCTCCACCAGACAGTGAGATGGGTTCTTTTATTTAGGCTTAGCAGGGAGAGGTGGTAATTACATTCCTTCAGGAGCTCTAAGGTGGGGAGGGAGGGAGACTCTGCAGCATCTCTGAAACAAGATGATTTTAGGTGGTACGGGGACACAGCATTAAATAGCAATGAGCCCTCTAGTGGGAAAGTTATTCCCTTTTCACTTCTTATTCAATCTTTTTGATTATATCAAGGAGAATGCCCTTAGTTTGGGGTTGGTGATCTCTAACACCTCTCTAAGGTTTTGGTAGGCAACAGCTGCCTCCAGCTAGGATTTAATACCATTTGTGTTAACAGAGATATTTTAATGGATAACTTCTATTTATGACCAGTAATACTAGCTTTTCTATTTACAACGGTGATGGTTGCTTTTTGAAATACATTTATTTAAGGAAAAAAACACTTTACATGAGTCAACTTAAAGGTATTTTGTATAGTGAAACTTAGAACAATTCTGAAGTTCGGAAAACATTTGGTTATTTGTACTAAATAAATGGCAGTCGAACTTTCCACTAAATCAGAAAACCCTTTGTGCTAACCTGTTTGATGAACCTTATGGTTAAGGCTATTAAGGATGTATTCCACTTAACTCCCCAACCCCTTGTCAATTAGAATGGTACAAAAGGTCATGTGAAGGTCAGAATTGGAGACCCTGCTTCTCCATGGGTTAGGTGCTGTCATAATATGTCATAATAGTATAAAGTGCTGAGGATCAATTTCCTGGTCTTTCTTTCTAATCCTGTTGCATAAGTTCCTGCTCTTTGAGGGGAGAGGGAAAAGATTATGGGGCAGAGCAATACTTTGGAGGTTATGTTATGCTCCTTGTTGTTTAAATACTGCTAACATACTATCCAAGAAGGTGTTCATCCTTATTTCACATTGGTTGGTTTCATTTCCAGTGTGGGATACAACTGAATCATTAGGTGGAAGTCAAACTCTTAATTCCCTTATAATTTTCTCCAACTCTCCTTTAAGAGAATGTGTATACACTCTCTTTCTAGGTGTATACATACGTACATATTCTACAGATAATCTATAGGGGTAAAGCATTTTGGCTCTTTTGGTTTTGTACAGTTTGGACACTTGGATTCTAAAATAAAATACATTCAGCAATTTATGTTTATTTCTCTTAAAAACAAGAGCGAAACACTAACAAACCATCATAATTGCAGAAGGAAAGGATTTAGTATTACTGAAAAAAATCATTAATTTTTTTCCCATTAATTCTGTTCTTTCAGGTAATTTCTATGATTGAAATAATTCTCCATGTAATTATTGAAGGAGACTTGAGCACTAAGTGCCAGGAATAATGGTGAACACATATAAAGGTGAAAGTGTGCAGATATCGCCATCAGAAAGCTTATGGACTTTGTTCTCTAACTCAAAGGAATGACTCTAAAGAGGAGAAAATTTTAGACAAGGAAAGAGAAAGGGTAGGCTGGTACCTACCTAATAATTTTTAGTGAAAGAATTATTTTTGGACAGGGAGAACCATGCAGTACCCTTCAAATAATTAAATCATTGACCAGACATTTATTGAATTTGTAGCAAGTGGCAGGCATTATGTTCAGCAGTGGGGATTCAGAGGTAAATAAGATGCCCCTTCTCTCTAAGCACTCACGCTTTATCAAGGGAAACAGACGTAAGAATAACTAACACAGAATGATATAACAGATCTCTAGTCAAAGTGCTTTCAGAATACAGGTGTGGGCTGGATGAGGGATTTTGAATTGGATCCTAAAGTAGGTGTTCATTGGGTGAAGAAGATAGGAAGAAAATTCCACGCAAAGGCAAAAGCATCAACTAAAAGGCACAGAGGTATAACAATCCATGGCTTGTTGAGGATACATTTGGGAAAGGGTAATCTGATGTTATCAGCAAGGGTGCTTGGGACTCAGAGGTTGGAGAGAGAGAGAATGAGAATGAGAGAGAAACCTTTGAAGGCTTTTTAAGCAGGGTAAGCTGTGTTCATAATTCTACCTGTGGGCTCTGTTATAAAGTAATGGCAATAGGCCAATAATTAGAGAATAATTGCTAAGGTCTCTCCCAGTTAGTTCTAAGCTGAAAACAGACCTCTTAGACGTTAGCAACGGTTTCTAACCCAAGGGTAGGCTCGATGGGTATTCATCTTGGAAAACACTTTCAAGTGTTTATTTACTTGTACATAACATTTTTTTGCTACAAAGATGACATCAGGTAGAATAAAAACCAAATGTTGTGACCCATTTCTCTATATTGAAGGTAGGATAAGTACTTATGTAAAATAGAGGTTGATAATTTTTTTCTATAAAGGCCCAGCTAGTAAATATTTTAGGCTCTGTGGGCCAAAAGACAAAATCAAGGATATTATGTGGGTGCTTATATAACAAGAGAGGAAACTCCTGCTCTCCCTGTTTGCTTTTAGGCTGTACAGTTGCTTTGACTCCAGTTGAGTCATTCACCTGACGAAGAGCAACTGGCCCAAAGGAAATGGAGAGGGGTCTGGCCGGTCAGGCCAACATGGTATATTTCACTCTGCCCCAGTGACAGCCAGATCTGAGGGGGCCGTTCTCTGTTCTCAGAGAACCTGCCCATCTCATCTTGGTCTGTTGGCCTGAGGAGAGGTGATTTGCCGAGTCTCTGACTCCTGGATTCTGATTCCACTGTTTGGTGTCTGCCATTTGCCAACAGCGGAGTCTCCAATGTGTAGGTGGTAATGCTCAGGCCCTGAGCAAACCTCTGGCCAGACAGGCAGGCTCTGGGAGCTCCAGGAGGAGCTGGGGTGGAAACTGATGCTCAGGCTTGGTCTTTGAGGCTCGCAGTGATAGCCCACAGCAATACAAAACTGCAGAGGAGGGAGGGTTGCTATTGGCAATCTAGTGGGTAGAGGTGCTACAATGCACAGGCCAGCTCCTCACAACGCAGTTAACCAGCCCAAAACGTGTAAGGTTTAGAAACTCTAGAATAATAAAAAATTGCTGTGTAGTTCATGAGGTGCTTAAAAAAAAAAATCTTGTTTTGATCCTCAGATGGCTCGTTACCTCTTACAGAGGAATGGTATCTTCTCCACTAGACTGTGAGGATCTTACTCATCTTTGTTTTATTCATCTTTCTATTCCCATTTTGTATCATCTTTGAATTAACACACACGGGGCATTTATTAATAATAATAGCTAACATTTATTGGGTGTTTATAATACACTACACACTGTACTAAGTAATTTACAGGCATTATCTCATTCATCACAACAATCAGAGGTAGGCACTATTATTATCTCCACCTCAAGGAAGGTAGATTTGATAGAGAGGTTAAGTAATTTTCGCAATGTCACAGAGATGGAGGAGCTGGAATTGTTGTACAATTGATGTATAATTTGTTTTAAGGTGTATATTATAAGCTTTCTTTCCAAGTTAAAGTTATTAATGAGCCATTTTCTTAAGTCTGCTAATTGTAACTTGAGCTGTAATACTCCAGATCAGTCTATGGGTTACTTCTCTATTTAAACCTTTACTCCCAGAGAAAGAATGAAAATCAACAAGTCTAATTTTTTTGTTGCACTCATTGTTTATTAATATCTCTAATAAAAATTGCTTTTTTCTTTCCAGAACTCACCAGCGTTTCTGCAGATTTAAGTGCCAACTTTATAAAAGCACAAATACTTACCTTAATCTCATTTGGGAAACCTCCATCTGGAGTCCTGACTGTTTTCAGACCAGCAGACTTACTAGACTGCCTCTGCCAAGTATATGTGTTTCAGTGTTGAGGAGAGGCTTTCAGCTTCAGATAATAGTTATTTATTGCCAGCATTGCAAGCCATAATAAACTATGCAATTCCAATGAACTTTGTTTTAGAATAAGTTGGTTTTTTAAATAGACTTCTCATGTGAAAGCATTCCAAATGGAAAATAATGTCTCTAATACTCTGGGTGAAGATGTAAGTACAATTCCCACAAGAATGGAAGTTGAAAAATGCAACTCCTTGTATTTAAGGATACTTTGTAACCTCATTAGCTATCAGAAAGGTCAACACAATCAATACATTATAACATACTACAATTTATATTTATATGTTTATTTGATTTAAGTAACATATGAGTTTCCCTTTTTCCCAAGGATTTAAAATCTGATTTGATTGTGTATTTTAATGATAATCAAATAAAATTCTTTTGGGACTGTGCTCCTCTCATGTTCTTTCTTTTGTCGGTGGATCATTTATGTACGAATGCTCTAATATATATACAGGGATAGTTTCCTTTTGAAATTTCCAATTATAGGTAAAAGTACATTTTTAGGTGGTGTAATACTTTGGATTGAAACTTCTAAAAATTTTAGCTGTTTTTGTATTTCTTCCCCTTTTCTGTCCTATGCTTCAGTCTTTCTATATTTGTAATTATTAAACATTAACTCAAGCTGGAAGACTTTATGCATTGCAGATGCTTGGAAAAAAGAATAATTGGAAACACATTATGCTAAGTGAAATAAGCCAGTCACAACAGGACAAATATTCTATGATTTCACTTATATGAGGTTTCTGAAGAATCAAATTCGTAGAGACAGAAAGTAGAATGGTGGTTGCCAGGGGCTAGGGCAAGTTGGGAATGGGGAGTTGTTTAATGAGTATAGAATTTCAAATGATGGGAGTTCTGGAAATTGGTTGCACAACAATGTGAATGTGCTTAACACTACTGAACTATACACTTAAAAATGGTTAAGATGCTAAATTTTATGTGTATTTTGCCACAATTTAAAAAAAAGCATAATTGTATTAAACCAGCAATTTATAAGCCATATGACATTGATAAATTTATGTAATAAATATATGCGACAGTTGAGCTTCTCTATACAACATAAGGTAAGCACAGTTGTTTTAATAACTCAAGAACTACATTTAGGAACTTAGAGAAAAATCAACTTTAAAGTACTACGGAACAAAGGACTAGATTAAGTTCAAAGGACATTGTAGAGGAGTGTGTGTGGGTTTGCAGGAACCCACAGAAAAGCCTTTTATCTTGCAAGGGCTAATCAATACCAGTATGACTGGATTTCATCTTGGGTAAATAAAGGTGGTTCTTAAGAACCATGATTAGTGAACCTCAGGTGCTACTGACAATGCCTAGTAGAAGAAGATGGTCACCTTGAAAGAAAAATAGAAACAGCTTTAATCTCTTAATGAATATAGGTGTTTATATATTTTAAAGACACTAAACTTTTCTGGTTTATTTTTTCCACATTTTCAAAGAAATGTTTTTATAGGATGAACAGATTTTTAAAATTTAAATCTTTGACTAGGTAATATATTTCCATATTACAAAATTCAAAAAGCATAAAATGGCACATAGTGAAGTCTTGGTACAACCCTCAGCACAGTGCTACTAGTAGACATTAAAAATGTTATTAGTTTCTTGTAAATTCTTTCATTCATATATATATATAAATATATTCATTATATATATTTATTTATATATATATAAAGTGCTTATATCGTTTTTTTCCCATTGTTTCTTTATATACTGTTTAGCACCTTGCTTTTTTTAAAATTTCAGGTGTATATCATATTTTGATTTGTTAGATTACATCATGTTCATCACTCAGAGACTAATTACCATCCATCACCATACACACGTGCCCAGTCACCCCTTTCACCCTCCTCCCTCCCCACTTCCCCTCTGGTAACACCAATCTAATCTCTGTATCTAGGAGCACCTTGCTGTTTTTACTTAACATATATCTTGGAGATCTTTCCCCTTTGGCAGTTAAAGAGCTTTCTTATTCTTTTGTATGAACACATAGTATTCCATTTAGTGGATGTATCATAATTAATTTAACTTGTTTCCTATTGATGGACATTTTGGTTGTATCTAATGTAATAAATATTTTTAAGCAACAATAAATTTGGACCTAATAAATAAATTTAGACCAATCAGCTGCTAATAATTGACCGTTGACTTTAAGAATCTCAAAGGCCATTTAGTCTATTCCCTCCCCCCACCCCCAAAAACAAACAAACAAACAAAACTCATAAGTGACCTGCTTAAGATCGCAGAGGTAGGTAGTGGCAGAGGCTGTACTAAAATCTGACAGCCCTGAGTTTGAGTCCTCTTTCCAACAAATCAGTATAATTATGATTTCACTGCATTATAAATAGCCTCCTTAAAAAATACATCATCTTAGAAGTTTGAATTTGAGCTCAGAAATGATAATGAAGCATTTTACTCCCTTACCAGCAGAAAGTTTTTTAAGAGGTAGTACATGAACATGGATTTTAAAGAAATGAAATAGTATTAAAGGCTATACAGCCAAGAGTCTTCATCCAACCCCTGACCACCCAGTCCTCCATGGCCCTTTACCAGAAACAATCATTGTTATTAGTGACTGGTGTACATTTCCAGAGAGTCGGTGCAAAACTCAGCACATATATATAGGTGTGTGTGTGTACGTTTTTTAAAACATAAATGGTAGGATACTATTTGTATTGTTCTGTACCTTCTCCTTTTTGCTCCCTTTTAAAATTTCTCTATGGGCCGGCCCCGTGGCTTAGTGGTTAAGTGCGCATGCTCCACTACTGGCGGCCCGGGTTCAGATCCCGGGCGCGCACCAATGCACCGCTTCCCCAGCCATGCTGAGGCGGCATCCCACATACAGCAACTAGAAGGATGTGCAACTATGACATACAACTATCTACTGGCGCTTTGGGGAAAAAAAAGGAGGAGGATTGGCAATAGATGTTAGTTCAGAGCTGGTCTTCCTCAGCAAAAAGAGGAGGATTAGCATGGATATTAGCTCAGGGCTGATCTTCCTTAAAAAAAAAATTTTTTTTCTACAGTTGTTAATATGCAAGTTAAATCTGATTTTACAGGTTTGTAAACTCCCTGAAGGCTGGAATTATCTCTCTCTGTCTTCTTTTGTTTCTCCCACAGGACACAAAATTCACCCAAGTATTTTGGACTTAGTTTTATTTTTCTAGAAATTAAGGTCATACTTGAATCATCCTGAATAAGAATCAATGTGTGTTCTATTCAACACTATTCTAAGCATTTAATTAAATGTCTCTGGCATAGTCAAAACTCAGTTGTGAAAAGGCTAGAGATACGGGCTGGCCCTGTGGCTTGGTGGTTAAGTGCGCGCGCTGCGATGCTGGTGGCCTGGGTTCGGATCCTGGGTGCGCATCGAGGCACCACTTCTCCGTTCATCCTGAGGCCGAGTCCCGCATACAGCAACTAGAAGGATGTGCAGCTACGACATACTATCCACTGGGGCTTTGGGGGGAAAAAATAAAATAAATAAAATCTTTAAAAAAAAAAAAAAAAAGAAAGAAAAGGCTAGAGATAGTGACAGTGAAAAACAAAATAACAGAGCTCAAAGAGTCTCGTTTTTACCTTTGGTCTTACCCAAGACTTCTAAAACTGGAGTTACTAAAAAGTGATTAAATTGATTTACTTTTTAAATTTAGGACATACTAAGCGCTAGGTACTACATGAATCACAAAGATGATTCAGTCTCTGCAGAAGTCATTTCCATTCTCTCTGCTTTTTCTATCGTACAGCAAGAAATTAAGGGGCTAAGTAGTCCATAACTGGATAATCAAGCCTTAAATAATCAGGCATTGGCTGCGATTTTTAAAATAAAAAGTTTAAAAAGCGATAGGAAACGAACTATACTCTAGGTAATAAGATACAAAATGTTACTGCTAGGCAATTTATGAATTATTTTTTTATAATATATCCATCTATCTCACAAGTCAGTTTTCACCTGAATGCAATTACAACAGGTATCCCAATATATCTTGTATTTACAGGAAAATAAATGGGCAAATACTACTGTCCTTTAATAAGAAACTACTCTGTCCTGCTCACTGTGCCATACTTTGTGGTCTGTGCTTTATGTGCTCTAATCCTTACAATAGTTCTAAAATAGCTCGAAAAAATAAATTATTATTTCCATTTTATGTAAGGAAACTGAAGTCCTGAGAATATAAGACAGTTGCAAAGTAGCAGAGTAAATGACAAAGCTGGCATTTGAATCCTGCTCTGTGTGGCTCCGGATTCTAAAGGGTGAAGAAATTCTGTCAGCAAAACCAATGAAACAATTCCAAATATAAAAACATTTTAAAACTAATCTTGTTAACATGATAATTTGCCCTTCTCCCATTTTCTATGAGTTAATATACACTAAATAAACATGGAAGACTATATGCCTTTTAGTTATCTACACAAAAAGGGGAAGAAAATTGCATTTTGACAAGTGCCAAATATCATAAATTATGTGCGTGTAATTATAGACTTTATGCGGTATAACGAGGGCTTCCAGTACTACAGTCCACAAATTCAGTGTGAATCCCCCACCATATTAAGAGCTCCCATAGGGGGGCGGGGCGGCCCCGTGGCGAAGCGGTTAAGTGCGTGTGCTCCGCTGCTGGCGCCCTGGTTGGGATCTTAGGCCTGGCACCGTGGCACTGCTTCTCCGGCCATGCTGTGGCGGCCTCCCACATAAAGTGGAGGAAGATGGGCACGGATGTTAGCCCAGGGCCAGTCTTCCTCAGCAAAAAGAGGAGGATTGGCGTGGATGTTAGCTCAGCGCTGATCTTCCTCACACACACACAAAAAGATCTCCCATGGCTTGACTCTGCTGGACAAAATGGCACAAGGACCACTATGAGTAACAAAGTGATACAGTACTTTTGGAAAACTAGAAATGGCCAGTAATTAAGAGCTTAACTCATTATTCCAGCAGTAACCTGGTTTGATCAGTCTGAGAAAGAATATTTCTCTGGTTCTTATTTCTGAGTTGGGCTGAAAGGGGTGAGCTGCTAGTTTCACTGTGAGCTAGATCAAGGTATACTGCTCTCGGCCTAACGCTCTTTCTACCATGCCATTCTTCTTCTTAACGTGCTTTTGTATCCTACAGTATGTATTTACCATACTATAGTTAAATGATTTAGTGTGGAGAAAAATTTCCAGTACCATTATCAGATTATACCATGGTGAATTGATGTTCAATATTACTTCTTCTGAAACTCAATATCCACTCAGCTTCGATTTTCTGTACCTTTGTGTCCTGCTTTGCAAAAGGACTAATACAGAGTAATTTGAATATAAAGAAGGAAAAGGAATGAGTATTTGCATTTCAAAAGGATTCCCAGACAATCATCCATTTATTTCAGCATTCCCATTTTGGC